GGTTTTATTATATGGTTCTATCCCCTTCTTCCACCTACCCATCCTTTGAAGTTTAGGTGCAGCTTCAGGAGAGATATAAACGTGACTTGGAAGTTAAAGGATCTACATATGACAGGCTAAAGATGAATAGTGTGTTTATATGGTCATCTTTGCCAGATGAGAGCAATGAGGATGATACAGAAAAGGAGAAGACTCACATTGTTGATAGAAGTTATAGAGATGGTGTTGTGGGGAACTGTACACTTTTGATGGGTCTAGACATTTTAAAATCCTTAAGTCTCTGTATTGGTTAGTCCTTAATAGAATAGTCTTTAATATCTAAATGCTCATATACTGGGATTTTTTTTTTGTTGGTTTTTTTTTTAAATACAAGTACTCAGAGCAGGAAAAGTACCATGTTATAGAAGAGAAGGAGCAATCCATTGAGGTGTGTTGGAAGTCCTTCAAGATGAGAGCAAAGAGAGTCAAATAGTCAATTTTGTAAACAGATACACAGCAAATAAAATTTATGTTCAAAATTAGCATTATTATTTGAAAAAAAAACCACAGAGACAGTATTTTTAGAATGATTTCAATGCATTTAAGACAGAAAGGCACAAATATTTATACTGTTGTTTGAAGTTCAAAAGCATAGCCCTGTATTTGCTCTAGTGCAAAAGCAGACAGAATTTCTTCCTGCCTCTTTTTCATTTTCTGAAGTACTTTTAATTGAATTAACATTGCCCACTAGCCAGTTAATTAACTGAAAAGAAGAAAAAATAGAAGAATAAAGATTTGCTTGCTTTTATATATCAGTGAAACAAGACTGAGCAGCAAATACTGTCTATGGAGGTTCACTGGACAGCTACAGAATATGACCATACAGAAGCTGATTTTTATAGTGCTGAGCTTACCCTTATAACTTCTTTAATAGCACTGCTATTAAAGAACATTTACAGAGCATGCCCTAGGCTCTATGGTAACCCCTGCTCCACTGACTGAAGAAAATACCTATTTTTTTTAATGCTCCTTAGGTTTTGTTTGCTCTGAATCACAAACATAAAATTGCCCTGTATTCTAGCTATACTAACTAGATTCTTAATCTAGACTGAAAATCACCCTAGGTACAACAAAAATCAGTGAAAGTTTTTCTAGTGAAGTCACTATGGGACTGGTTTTTCTATTATATATCTATATGTTCACCCACAAAACAGCTTGTTTGGGAAATAAAATTTAATTGATAATTAGAAGTAGATTACTTTGGATAAACAAATTCCAGACATTCTACCTGTACCATAAATGTTCATGAGGTTCATTTTCAAACACACCTAACTGTAGAAAAAAAATATTATTGCAGTTTTTTTCCCATCAAATTACCCCTAAAAGAAGTGTAGATTATTTCAGGCATGGCAGGTAAAGCTTTTGAACTTCTGGTTACTTCTGCAAAGAATATTTAGCCATCACTCTTTATAAGAACCGAGGTTTCTCTGTCTGAACCATCTCTTGTCATCTTGACTAGAAAAGTGGGATGAAATAGATATATTGGGATAATCTTGCTCTCAAGCTGATTCAACTGAAAGTAGCAGGACTTGTTTTGATAACTATGATTCCTTATGTCAAAAAATATAAAAGTAACACAAAACAGCCTATCTTGAGAGTTCCATGTATAGCCTATATCCTAAAAATATTCACCCTTTTGATAAAAAATAAGGGGAGAGTATTCTCAGACTTTATTTCTGCACATGAAAACAAAAGAGTCTAGTAACAAAATACAAAACAGTTCCAGGGAAGATGCCTCAAATAAGAATTGCATGCAATATATATTATATATTTCTGATTGTATTTTTCCTGATGTCATTTGAATCCCTCTTCTTCCGTGTCTTCATATATTTTGATTTCCCTGCTTTCAGAGGGACTTTCCCTGCTATTGGCTAAGCCAGAAACCATAGATAAATCAAGAAAAAGTCTGGACTTAGTTTTGTTCTTTTTTGCCTTTTCTTTTTTTTGTTGGTTTTTTTTTTTGTTTTTGTTTTTTGTGGTTTGTTTTTTTGTTTTTTTTAAGCCATTGGAGCTTGATTGATTCCATCTACAGCTTTCCTCTATGAGTGAGCTGCAATCCAGGATTTCTTTGAAGATGCTTTTCCTCAATTTTATTCCATTTCTCTCTAAGAAGGTGAAGCAGTACTTCAGGCTTATGTAGAGAGGAACCTGACAATGCTTCAGCCGGCACTTTTAAATTGAGGCAATTCTGGATTTTCTGAAGAGAAACTGAAAAGAAAAAGGCTGAAACTATCCTCTGCATAAGCCAGTACAAACGATGTTGAGATATGCATTGAGTGAAACATTATGGCAACTGGAATCTTGTTATATGTTACAAATGTCATGCCAGTTGCTGAAGTCTACTTCTTAAAAAAAAAAAAAAAAGAGAAAGAGAGCTCCTCAGGGAATAAAACCAAAGCATTATTTTTATATCAGCTGGGTATGCCTTCAGAGCGAACAATACTACCAGCTTACTTCTATCTCAGTCAAACTGTTTGGTTTTGGTTTTTTTTTTAAACATTGTCAGTCTTACTAAGAGTTACAGGAGCGATAAACTAAAATTTTTGTAACTAAAAATGTGGGGTGTTTTCCTCATGCACAAGATGTCACTGAGATGTTGGGTTAGTTACTGTCCACAAAACCTGAAAATTGGAAAAAGGGAGCTGTTTCCCAGGCTGAAAACCTGCCAGGTAATTTACAAGGAAAGAGCTTCTGTGCTAAATTTATCAATAATAGTTTCTCAGAATTACTTGTTAAAAAAAGGTGTCAGGATATATTGTAGCTTATGATTGATCGTTAGGTTTGTTCTTCAGCCCTAATCTTCTGCAAAAATATTAGCAACATAAATCTTTAATTTTATCTTTAATGTTATTTTGTTCTTGCCCTAATATTATTCATTTGTTACTGACATTTAAACTCTTAGCCTGGTGAGGGATGCTTATTGCAAATCACTGTATTGAAGAAGGATATTATGAGTGGTATGATATTTTTTTTATTACAGCAGCATCTAGAGGCTTCATCTGAAATTATATTTCCTCTGCTAAACACTGTGTGAACACACAGTGAGGCAGTACCTAGCTCTCACACATTCCATGCAAAGAAAACCCCAAACAAACCAAACCACCAGCACCCAAACATTGGTGACATGCTCAGACTAAAACAGATTTTGACAGTGTATAGACATAAAAGTAAGATCTTGGAGACAACCCCATTTTATTTATAAGACACTTGGAGCCTTTCCCTGACAATCACATTCCCCAGTCAGTCAATGAACCAATGCCTAAAGCTGGTTCAGCAAAGTTTTCAGGCAGGGTTTCTGATGCTTTACTACTTTCTGACTGCAAGGGCTTTAAGGTTGCTATCCCATACAGAAGACTCCTCTCTTAACTTCACGTTGGCCAAAATGTTTTAGGTAACTATTGTTAAGAACATCGATATTCAGGCAAAAAACAGCTTAACCCAATTTCAGAATTTCAGTAAGAGCTTTGTTCTGTTAATGACTGAGATGGCAGACAGTGACTTTTTTTTATGGTGACTATCAAGCTGAGAAATGAGATAGATGTGCAAATAACATTTCACTGAAACTTTTGTCTCTCTTAGAGTAATTCATAACAATCATCTAAAGATATTTAGGAATTGATGTGGATATTAAGGACAGCTGGTCCCAAAAACCTTTGAGAGAGGGGAAACTAAAGTTTCTCTTGTGACAAGAGCTATGGAATTCAAGTTTTGAGTGTGACTGGAAGATGACATTCAAGGTGGTCATGAGATCAAGAGTAGCATAGCTGGGTACAGAACACCTGAGCCATACATACATTTCTTGGTTGGTGCAGGATGCCCCTCAGTTGCCAGCAAAGATGAGACAGCAGAGAGATTTGAAAGAACAAACCTGAGTAGTGGGGTAGACTGAGCTGGTTTTCATTTGGCTAACTGGTGTAGGAACTCTCCAGGAGGAAAGCTCAGGCTCTCCTCAGGATTACACAGGCAGCTTCTGCTATTCTTATAATGATTTTCCATGTGTCAATTAACAACCTGATAATGTCATGGAGACTCTCCAGGTAGTTCTTGCAGCAGAATTGACCAGGTTGCACCTAACTAAAGCACTTCCAAATAGTCTATAGAGCCTGTCCCTGCAAGTGCAGAAGTGTAGTGTGGTCTTTTGTACATAATTAAGACATAAAGGTGGTATTTTGGGCACAGCTTATGTTAATCAAGAGCAATGGATCATGCACATGCTGGGTACTCATGTAAAGCTGTGACCCAGCAGGACTGTAAGATTTCAGCAAAACAAATTTCCCACTGAAGGTGCAGTTGCAATATCCTCCCAATTGAGGCTTTTGTTGCCATGCAGAAAGGCACCATCATGTTTGTGAGCTCTGACTCATAAAGCCAAAATGAATAACTTTGCCTTCTAGAAGGCACTTTCTCTGTTCTATGTCTCTTCCCAACAGATTTAAGTGGAGTTACAACTGGAATATCTGTTCCAGTGTGGAATTTGCAATCACTATCCACAACAGAGACAAAATAAAAAATGTGGCCAGACAGCATGGAAATAAAATGTTAAGACCTACAGGACCTAAAAGAATCTGGTTTTCTCTAGGTTTACCAAGAGTAGATCATAGCTATAGGTAAAGGACTACAAGTAGATATATAGTGTATTAATTCTACTTGCAAAAATCTCTTTATGGGCTGTCAGAAGTGAAATTTTGTTAGTATAAGACTTGAAAGGCACAGAAGAATAGAGATAGTAGCATTTTATATGAGTATAGTTACCTGATAGGTGGTTATGATGGCATCAGATGACCAAACAAGATGCTGTTGGTAATAACTTATATGGAATTTCCTGGTGGTCAAGGTAATGAAAGGAATTGCTTCCCAAAAATAATTTTAATTTACACAACCAGAATGATTCTCACTGCATAAAATATTTTTCTTTCTCTTCAATCAGCAATTGTTGTAATTCTTAAATTAATTTGCATTACCTGGGTTTGGTTTTCCAGTTTTATATTGCCTTGAATTGAAAAACCTGGAATAATGAACATTTAAACAGAAGTAAAAAAGTGGTGTTCTGTAGGTTAACAAAGACTATGCAGTAATACTGGCCTGTAAGTTTTGTGCTGATAATGGATATGCCAAATCCTCAGCTACTATCACATCTATGCAAGACTATATCTATTTTACTGACAGGGGATTTGTCTGAAAGTCCTACAAGATTAATGTCACTAAACACTTCCCTTGTTCACCTATAGTAACCATTTAACAAACTGATTAGTTAATGACATTCACGTTTCTTAGAAAGCAGCTCTCTACCAAGTTTGCCACAGTCCTGATCATGCATAAATAATATCAATTAAAAGTATTTAGATTAAAGCAAGAGTGAAAGAAGCCTTAAAGCAGTTCACTGATTTACCTTGATAACCTAGCATTAATTAGTGTTAATTTTTCACTCAATCCTTTTTGCACTTAGAAGCAGTGTGCTACTAAGTTTACTGGTTCAAAAAAGTGTGTTCCAGATTGGTGTGTGAAATACTTGATATCTCTTTTTTAAAAAAAATCTGATTTGATGAATTTGGGACATACAAGACATGGTTAGAAATTTATAGAGCAGCAATTAACTTTTAACAAGTCTATGTAAAATACAGCATAAATAGCAAATTAATGACATAAGCCACAGACTGACAAACATCTACAATATAATTTCAATATTTTTTTTTAATTTACAAAGGAAAAAGCTTACTCTTGAATTATTGGTATAAGCTGAGTGCCGAGATCTTCACAGTGAAACCATTTTTCAAAGAGGACATCAGTTGATTCTCCAACATAGTATCTGATAATGTAAACACATTAGTCAATCCTTTTATTAACTAACTGATCAGGCAGTTTCAGTCTTTTGAAGAAAATAGCTACTTGATGTTGTGTAAGAGCAACTTATTGTCAAGGCTGGTGGACTTCATTCTGAGGAATGGTTATTTGGGAAAGCTTTCTGTTTCCCTGGTTAGGTGACTTGGTGGTGGGGTGCTCAAACTTCTGTGGAGTGCCTTTTAGTTCTGTTGATCAATCACAACTCACCAAATTCCTTCAGCAACCTTGCCCAATTTCATTCTGGAAATGATTGCTGCCATAATCTCTTGGGACCAATACTTTCACCTTGGATGTAGTTACTGCTAGAAAACCTGGACCCAAATACCATTTCCAGTAACTGCTTCCATGCAGCAATGACCAAAATAGCCATATTGATAGAGTCAGCTTACTTAATGCCCATGCATGATAAAAAAACAAGGTGGTTATGGACTTGTTAGTGAAAAATAGATGGTTTTCAGCTACACAGATTTGGGAAGTGTTTGAGTCACCCCTCTGAAGAAGAATTTAGTGCTTCACTTGCATTAATTTTTTGTCTTAAAAAATAAATAAATTTTGGTGAGGTCAACAAGTAAAGGTTGCTCTATAGAATCAATCTAAGGACTGGCAAATACAAAATTTACACTCAGATTTTTAAAAGACTGCAAGACTGGAAAGGAATGATGCTCCAGTCCTGTCACTCATATTGTCAATGTTTTTAAAAAGGTCCTGTGTGTCTTTTAGATTAAAGTTACTGGAATGTGTGTCTGAAGTGGAAAACAAAACTTATGTAATTATCCTGTGCATATCTGTATGTTCATGTCTGTTTTATGTATCTATACATATATTGTCCAGAAATTTTCTAAGAGCTCCCTGGCTCCTCATATTTTGCAAAAAGAGGATACACTGAAGAGAATAACACTATCTATACCTCCAATTTAGAAAAAGCTATGCTGCCATCACACAATCTAAACACAGACAATCTACAGAGAAGAGAGATGCTAAATATGTTTGTTTGGTACAAATAAAGTATCCGACAATATGAATAACATTAAACTTATTTGGTTTCGTACTTATTTGCCATAGAATTAAGAGTAGCTAGATCATTTTTCTCATAGCACAAGACAAGTAATCATTACTTAGGCTGGAACACTGGGGCAGGCTACTTATTCTTCACTTGTGCAGTAATCAGCATGCTGGGGGCTCTGATTTACGACCATGGTTTGTAGACACCATAAATAATGGAACAGTAACACAGTATTAGACTCTGAGTCAGCATACTTCAAAGTGCATTAGGATTTCCTTTTGTGCAGTCTTTGCTGCAGGTGGCTGGTGTTGAAAAAAGTAAGAGGACATTAGGGACTCTGGTTGTAAATTCCCCTCTCTCCCAGGAGCACACAGATGGAATGTAGGTTCAAAAGCATGACAAGATTTCTCACTTCCAAAATTTCAAGTGTTTTTATTCACCACATCAGTGTTAAAACAAGGGCACTGAAAACCTCTGATTTATTTTCAAGCATCTGATTAGATGCTTTGAATTTATTAAATTGTTAATTTCCACCTGCAAGCCATAAGGTAGCTTTTAGTTCAGCTTCTCCACATGAGCATGCCTATATTGGAGCGCAAATCTTTAGATCAGCCTGGATCTCTAAAATGGCATTCAGCATTTCTCTGTCTGATACCATTCACAGACTTCACATGGTAGGTTGTTTTACTTTAGGTGAAGTTCACTTTATTATTTAAGTTCTTTTTTTACTATTTAGTCCTTTTTATTTTAATAATAAACTTTTTCATCTAAATCACTGGTCATTTTTTTCTAGCTCAAAGTATCCTTTAAATAATGTAAGTCCAGACAATCTACACATCTGCAATGAAAGGAAAAAAGAGACATGTGCATAGGTAAACAATACTTTAAATGAACTGGACTTGTTTTTAGCTTGGAATTTAATCATGTGTTTCTTTTCTTGAATGGTCTCTTTCTTAGTTTCTTTCCATAGCCTTTTTTTCTTTAAAAGAAAAAGTATATCTTTCTAGCTCTGAGTACTTGCAATCTTCCTGCTGTGACACTACCCATGCAACAATCAAAATTGTAGGTGAAAGGACAGGAACAGCATTTTAGAGATATCTCTGCAGTTTTAAATCTGTATGGATTATATGGACAGCTATAAATTCTGCTTGGTCTGTCATCTCTGGTTAATACCAAGACAGCTTTTCTCGATTTTTCTAATGTTATACTGTTGTGACTTTCCCTCTTAGATTTGTGAATTCTGTATGGACACAAGACAAAGCTTAGTCCTGCTCCCTCTAGAATACAAACCAAACCAATCACTTACATGAAGATGTTTTCCTCAAAAGGCAATAAACCTAGGCAGAGGTGTGTACAATGTAGAGGGACTAGCGGTGAGAAAATTGACTTTTGTTTCTAGCTTCCCACACACTTGACAAGAAAGCTGTTCTTCATCTTTTTGCTTTCAGTGCTTGCAAAGGAATTAATATTCTGCTTGCCAGAACTGATAAAAAATCTTTTTTATCTGGGTTGTTAGAGAGCTCTGAGATTTTTTTTTAAACTTAAGGAAATAGCAGTGCATAGTACATAAGTAGATTGCTATAACCATAACGTCTTTCAGAAATTTCAATATGGTCCTTGTTTAACTAAAGCAAATGCTAAATGAGATCTCTGTTTATGTGTATATAGATAAATAGATGTGTGGATAGAATTAGTACAAAATTGCTGGGATGAATCTGATTAATTATCATGAAATTAAAACACAGCATTGTATTGATATGAGAAATCAGTTTATATTATGAATTCTAACAGATTAGTCAATAGTTTATACTTCACCTTAGCCCATCCATTTCTGTTTTTAATCTTTCCCTCTCAATCACAAGACCCACAGTGTTTTTGTATCTCTGAGGAGAATGAGGTATCCTGGCAGGTAGCAGGAACATCTGTTAAAAGAAATCAGAAAGCGTCAGTGTCAGGAAGTCTTTGTTTTTTGCATTGTCCCTTTCCTGCCCCTCAACCTGTAAAGTCTTCTGCTCCTTTCTCCACTTCTCCCCTACTTTTTGTTGATCCCGTGTTGCACCTTTGCAGCTACACCCACTGTGGTACCCACAGCCCTGCAAACACCAATTCTTGCTTTCTCTGTGAGTGATGACACAGTGACTGCAATCAGCACTGCCTTGATGGCAGGCAAGTTCTCTCCTCCTGGCTTGATCATCATTGCTAGACACAATTGAAATGAAAATCTAATCAATTTCTCATCTGAAATTTATAAACTTACTGCAATTTCTGAGTAATTGAAATGGAAATAAAAAAGCAGGTTTCTTGTCTGCTCAATAAAATGTCTAAATTAATCAGCCACGTGTATCCTCCCAACACAGTGAGCACCTTTGATTGCATGATTGCATGATGACAAGTGCTACTCTCTCTGAAAATAAATAACAAATGTGAGGGGCTATTTACTCAAGCAAGTGACAAAGTGAATAGGCAACATGTGGTTAAGGGAAGTCTATTTCTGAACCTTTCTTAGCAGCTAGCTGGCTAGCCTGTATTCTTCACCAGTACAGATGTTTTTGCTAAGGCTGGGCAGTCATTAGTTTCTCTGTCTACAAAACAGAGCTAATGATGGTGCCTCAGCAGTACTAGTGTCAGTCTTTCCACCAAGTATTGTGTGCTCCTTTTCATTAGTGCTTCTCTTACACGCTGAGATCTCAGCTGGGTGTGCTCCTGCAGCGTGAAGTGTAATACCAGAACCTCATAGCTGGAAAACGTGGCTCTGTTTCATCACTGAAAAAGTTGTAATGCTTTTAATGGCATTAAGTTATTGGGTTTAACACGCCTTCCATTTTAAGGGCTGCCTCCACTAGACCTAATAGTCCTTTCAAAGACTTGAGTGCAGTCCAAGCTTGTGTCAGTAACTGTGAGTGGCAGTTGTAGTATACATCTAACTCGCAGTAACAGCCAGTGTCTATTCCTGCTCTTGGTAAAAGCACTGCAATCTTTGCTTTAGCAAGTGTACTACTATAAGGAAAAATTGGATACATTTTATTTGTAAACCGCTCGTTTAAAGCTGTCCTACTGTGATGGCTGGAAAGGCAAGCTGTGAGGACTAAAGAAGGCTGAAAATGTATGAATCATTTAAATTCCTCAGTTTAGGTAGCTTTAGCTTGCTTAATGGTGTGTGTGGGTGGGTGAGTGCACGCCTTCCATTTTAAGGGCTGCCTCCACTAGACCTAATAGTCCTTTCAAAGACTTGAGTGCAGTCCAAGCTTGTGTCAGTAACTGTGAGTGGCAGTTGTAGTATACATCTAACTCGCAGTAACAGCCAGTGTCTATTCCTGCTCTTGGTAAAAGCACTGCAATCTTTGCTTTAGCAAGTGTACTACTATAAGGAAAAATTGGATACATTTTATTTGTAAACCGCTCGTTTAAAGCTGTCCTACTGTGATGGCTGGAAAGGCAAGCTGTGAGGACTAAAGAAGGCTGAAAATGTATGAATCATTTAAATTCCTCAGTTTAGGTAGTTTGCTTAATGGTGTGTGTGGGTGGGTGAGCAGTGTCTACCTGGCAAGGTGTAAATAAAAGCCTGATCCAACAGAATTTACATGGCAGATCCCATGCAATGCACGGGAATAAAAACTTCTCTCAGTATGCTCTGGACTATATGAATATATAACCCAGATGTTCAGAGGGATTTTTATCTGTTATTGAAACAGTCAAATGTTGAGCATAGTTTATTGTAGTTTCCTATTATTTTCTTAAAATTTTCCATTCAAGCTTTTGGTTGTTTTTTGTTTTTAATAAATCCCGATGCCATCTTTTGCAAAGCAAGGATAAATTGGTTTCTGAATAACACATGAAACATTTGGTTAACATACTTATATACAACTATAACAGAAAAACAGTACTGTTTTACCTCCCCTTCTCGTATGACAATGTCTTTGTGTTTCCCATTTTCAATTATCTTCAAACACATATCTCCTTGAACCTGGTAAAAAAGCTGAAGAAATAAAAATATAGCATTAAGGCAGCTACTCCAAAACATTCTGTGCTTTATATTCTCTATACAAAGAATACATGTATAAATATGTTCAATTTGCAGTTGCAAGTATTAGCAGATTTTTTTCTAACAAAAACTGCCTCCTAAAATATGTTGAATTTTAAAAAGTTACAGAATATGTATTATTTCTGTTATCTTAGTAATCTATCCAAGAGGTCTGTAACTGCCTATAGAGCTATCCTCTGCACCTGGTGGAATTCCATTGTCCTGGTTTTACCTTTGGAATTACTTTCTCGAGGGCTCAACATTACAGTTGAAGCATCCATTAATTACACAATATAGAAAGCTTAATTTCAGATGTAGCAGAGTCTCTAATCAACCAAATTATATGCCAATTCTCCAAATAAGCTCCAAATATGCACACACAGGTTTTTTTTTTGGTGTACTTTTTCAATTTTTAATGTTGCTTTCTCATTTGGGAAGAATTGCCCATTTGGAAGCTGTTCTGCTTTATTTTTGTGGATGCCCTCAAATCCAGCAACAGCTGCTGCTCTTCCCACTGTGTATATGTAAAAGGGTTACATTCAAAGTGTGTATAAGGACAGAACCACTGAACCCAAAATTCTGTCTTTGGTGATATGGCTGTTTTCAGACCAAAACCAGCTCTGCTCTGTGGGGGCTCTGAGGTGCTCGGGTCCTCATGCTTCATGACAGAACTGGGTTATAATCTGTAAGCAGATCTGTATCTTTGACCTGAAATAATGGACACATTCCCCCTCATTTTTATATAGTTCAGAGCAATAATATTTTCAGAAGTCACTTCTGCCATGCTTTCCATGTTCTCTTTACCACATCTAGAAACCAGAGTGCTAGTGCAGCTGAAGTAGTCTGAAACATGATTCAAAGTTAGAACTATAATTGAAAAAATACCTTAAGTCTAGCAAGTCTCTACAACTTCATCAAAATAAAAAATAAAATAGGGGAAAGAAGAAACCACTGAAGCATAAAACCCCCCTGAACTGAACTCCTTCCAACATTAGAAAAGCTTAATCAATTTTTAAATCAGTATTATTTCTGAAAGAGTTTTGAAATATTAATACATGCCCCTTGGAACTGAAGAAACACCTCTGTGAACATGAGAAAGAATAAATATGCTGCCGAGGGAACAAAACAATAGGGAGAACTGAAGATACACTGGAAAAAAGCTCATGCTGAGAGCTTTAAATGAGTTCACCTTGTGCCAGGGACATCACTACAGATAAATTATAACTCTTGTCTAGAAGGCCACAGTGCCAGTGCAGTCCATTCCCTTGCCTTCTTTGGCTCTTACTTTCTTTGGCATTTCTGCAGGGCAGCACCCAATGCTACAGCAGCTCTCCTTCCACTGGCCAGGGCCAGCTGCTCCCTGCATGACAGAGAGTGATCTGAGTGGGGAAATGGCCTCTCCTCCAGTTCATAGAAGATTCATCTGAGACTGTATGATCTAGATGGATTGTCACATCAGCTGTGGGTCATATGGCACTGGTAATGCTGAAACCTAAAGTATAATTTTGGAAATCCTGAGCTTCAGAGTGTTATTTCCCCTGCAGCTACTGGGGCAGTTATTACTGAACATGTGCACAGGACTTGTAGATGAGGGAAAGGACAACAGAGGTAGAGTTTATCCTGGTTCTGACATAAATCATGCAGCTGAGAAACCTTACTGGAAGTGAAAAACTTGAGAGTGGATGTCAGCTATCCAGTTCAGGGGCGAAGCATCATAGTCATAAGAAAAGATTATAAACAGTAAGTTATGAATTAAAAGAACTGTTTTGCAGTGGGAGAGGAGGAATGACGTGGGCTACACATTGTCAATGAAAGTGTTTTTCTGACTGAATTTAAATAGTACCTTTCACTGTAAATTATGGTCTATTCTTCAAAACTTTTTTCTTTTTAATTGCCTGAGTGCTTCAGTCATCCATAAATCATCTAACTGTGATTAATACAAGTGGCAGCAATTAGTGACTCTACTGCTTTGCTTATAATATAACCTGAACTTTTTATCAAGGAAAGTGTCAGCTATTTAATATCTCAGTGAGTTACAGTCCACACCCATTTCAGAGGCCAGATTGGCAGCACAATACTGTCTTTTTGCTGGAAACTTCTTTTTTCTACATACTGACTAACTTTTGCCTTTTGGGCAAATGTCATGTTTTCCTAAGTCTCTCTTGGAAAAAAAATTCAAAAAGTTAGAAAATTCAGGTGTACATATATGCATACACACAACTATATGTACACCTATATAGATAGGATAGTAAGCCAATGGAGTTCATACCACTTGAAAATATAAGCTTTCCCAGCTGCACTGCTCTTATTGGAATGATCTAGTATCCATTCTCCCCAGCAGTACTAAAAACTGAGGAAATGTGCAATATTTCTGCTCTATTAACATGTTATTAATGATAAGGCCTCTTGTTACATTAAATGCATATACAGCTCTTCTTGTAGAAAAGCCTATATTTGTATATTGCTACTGCATAATAGCTCACAATTGGGCATGAATTTTGTCTTTTTGGGTGAAAAACATGTCTCAAGGAAGAAAGAAAGGTTGTTCCCCACTCTTTTTATCCTTTGTTACTAGATGTGCTTATTTATTTATTATCGTATCTTCCTTTCTTTTTCTTCTTTTCCAGACGTCAGTATTTTGTTTAGTTTTCTGCTTACTGCGTGGTATCTTCTCATTATGATTATACTAAAAACACCTCCTTTATTAATGCTCCTTTATTAATGCTCATCTTACCTCTAGAAGTTATGAAGCACTTAGGAGTGCTTTTTTGCCCCAAGCGTAACATTATTTCGTAACATTACTCAATATGATCATTAAAACTGCAGAAATACCTACAAAACTCAAATGAAAACACCTTAAGACTGAGAGGGTTTTTTAAAATTAATTTAATTAATTTAAAAAAAATTTTCCTTAAATTTTCTTTATCATAGGAGAAATACATCCTCCTTCCTTAGTCTGCTTCACTCTTTTTGATCATGCTTCAAACCTGATAGTATTATGCCTGCAGGGGAAGGTAGAGTGGCCAGTGCTGAATCCCTCTCAATTCTGTACAGGGATATTCCATTCAATTATGAATACTCATAGAAAAAATTATGCTGAAGAGGAGATGCACAGAGGCAGGAATTCACTGTTGCCATCAGTGGAAGCATTACTACCTTAAAAGAAGCCCTAACATCCTCACTATATTCTCACCACCTAGTGTGGTGAGAATTGCTCCTTCCTCCAGGTATGTGTATCCTAGCAGAGTAAACAAAGAAGCATCTAGTAGTGGCAGAATACAGGATTTGAAATTGGTCTGTATTGACTAACTAAAAAACCCACAAGTGTATTTTATTTCATGTACAGCAGCGTATGTAATTTAATTTGGATCCACCTTTGATATCAAACTCTGCCTAGACACAGCAACCCAGAGCTCCATGAGGGCTTTGATAGCTGACAGCTTACTTACAGACCTCTAAAGAGATCTGTAATTAGCAGGATACTTTGAGTTCTGACTGCATCTAAAAGTGGAATTTGGGATTGCTCAGCCGCTTCTGGGATTAGGCTCTGGCTTGGTATATCCTGGCTTGTATTGCTTGTCATATGGCTAAGCATTAAATTAATTTGCAGAGCAAATAAAATTCTGATGTGGGAGTAGAGCCTGGGTGCTCTCCAGACTTCAGTGGTGACTGATCTATTTGAGTAGAGAAAAACAATTTTCTCCCTTTCTCATCACAAGAGTTTTTCAGCCATCAGAAGTCTACAAAACAAACAGATTAGGAAGGTAGAGAAAACTATTTTCAGGGCTTTTGGTGTGGCTTGTTTTTTTACTTCCCTCTGCTCATTTACATGTCATCTGTGAGACCTGAATACTAGCCAAAACTCATACCAACAATTTTATGCAGCAAAACTATTTCTGAAGACACAATCTCCATCTGATGCAAAAGGATTATCGTTCTTATTACACTTTAATAGGAGCTGGGTTTTATAAAATATTCCAAGATTCTTTATCAGATAAATGTGGGGTTTTTAAATGGAAAGAAGCAAAAATGTTTCTCCTGCTTTGTTGTAATTCAGGTTCTCAGATTTATTTGGGATCTAAGCACGACAAAACAACCTATTGGAATGCTCACCTAGCCCTATTTTCCTCTTGTTTTCAGACATCCACTATCCTTATAAAATGCAAAGGGCAAATTGATCTGAATTGATCTGATAGGGAAGAGTTTCTCAAAGGCATGCTGACTGGAAAGCAGCATACATTAGAAGGAGTCAGGCTTCATTTAGGCAGACAATCTATTGGCTCTACTGGAGCCAAGTCTTACTTGTGGTGTCTGTGGGAGAGGGAGAGAAAGAGAAATCAAAACTCAGGTCAAAAAAACTCAGATGACTTACGGCAGATGTGACCTCAAACCTGCATCATGTTTCAAGTATGAAGTTGTATCGCAGTCAGACCACGTGAATATGTTAGAAGAAGCTGAAGAGATTCATCAAGATTATCAAAGGAGGGGGAGCTCCTTCTCTGAGAGTTCTCTTCAGGACTGCAGTATGAGGGCTTTGGTCTGTGGGGATGTGCCTATAACTAGATGGCTCTATCCATAGGAAACAACCTAGATGCTGAGAGTAGAAACTTAGGGTAAAAACAGCACAGTAAGAAGTGTGACTTCTAAATCCAAGTGGGGTTTGTGCCAATGCAAATGTCTTGCAGGTGGTAGATGAAATGCTGATTTGAATTTCTCTGCATGGAACTGCACTGTTTTACATAGGCTCAATATCAGAATGTAAATTGTTAAGAAGTCAAAGTCAGCAAAACCAAAGTCAGTTGAGATTCACTGTGTGTAAGTGGTGGACTGAGGTGGGTAAAGAAATACCACTCTAACTACTTTTGTGATCCTAGATTTAGCTGTTAGCATATGCCACTTTTCCCCAAGGCTGCCCACACAATGCAGTAAATAAATTCTGAAATTCTTGTACTAGAGCTAGGTTTTGTTATGATCGTGGGGTTTCTCTGTCATTAACTTCTCCAAAATATATGGTCCCCTTGGGTTTTCACTTATTTCTTTGTAAGAAGTTGTTGTTTTTGTTTGTTTTTTTTTTTTCTACCCTCAGGCTTTACAAGCAAGTAAAAATGCAGTAAATACACCATGAAGCCTGTAGGCTATGTTAACACTGAAACTCTTCTTGTCACAAATTCTACAGTATGATGAAAAATCCAAGACAAAGGTATGTTGAGGACTGTTCCCTGGTACCTGCCACCCCACAGCTGTGAGGGGCTGAGCACAAGAGAACATAGCCTCAAGGTGTGCCAGGGGAGGTTTGGGTTGGACAGCAGAAAGAATTTCTTCATGGAAAGGGTTGTCAGGCATTGAAATGGCTGCCCAGGGAGGTGGTGGAGTCATCATTCCTGGAGGTGTTCAGAAACAACTGGATATGCTACTCAGTGCCATGGTTTAGATGACAAGGTGATTTCAGTCAAAGTTTGGGCTCGATGATCTTGGCAGTGTTTTCCAACTTTAGTGATTCTGCAACTCGGTGACCATGTCAGGCCTGCCACAGAAACTTTCAGTGGCCTCATCAAGTTGACTACACAAGAATTGTAGTCACTAGTCCCTGGAACCCAAAACTATCTTGACAAATGAGGCACAACAAAATAATGATTTATTGGAAACCCTCAGAACTAATTAGGTAGCACAAACACTTCCTAGAAAGTTCTGTCAGTATTAGATATATAGGTCCATCCTCACAGCATTTTTTTGCCATATTCCAAGAGAAGATGTATTTCCTAAAGCATTTCATTTTGAATGAGTCTGATTTAGAGACATAAAATGTCCGAGTAGATGTTTGCTGACTACCTCTATTCTGATGGAGAAGAGAGAAAAAGGGAACTTTACAAATAAGAATGAATATGACTTCCTAGTAAATTCCAGCTGAAGACTGTGAATGGTTTAACTCTTGTAAGTTGCAGCTTCATATTTCTCTTTAAAAAACCTGTCCAATGTAACACAGTCTCAGGTACGAGACTCTTTTTGTGCAGAATGGTGGCAAAGAAGTAGTGCAGAGAAGTTTAAGAAGGCAGTGAAGAGCCATAGAGAAAACTAAGAAGGAACAAAATATAAGAGTTATTTAGGAAATGCCTGCTTGTTGAGAGGAGGAAAGAAATTGTGCTAGACTGGCTGTCATTTTAGCCTAAATGGCTGTTCAGGAGACAATTCTAAAAGGCTTTGAAGATACTTCAAATCAAGCCTCTGGGTTTTTTTCCTCCTAATTAGACAGTCAGACCTAATCTTCCTGATACACCTGCACGTTAATGGCACCAGCAGAGAGCAGCTTGGGAGGATGCTCCTCAGCCCTTATCTCTGTGTGCCAACCCTTTGCTGCTGTGAACTGCAGGCTTTCAAGCACAAGTTCTGCCACAGGACACGCCATAAACTGTGTGACAACAGGCATGAGATAGTGAGTGGACAGATATAAACAATCCTAAATTTAACTTTTTCTCCAAACCAACCCTTCTTTGCTATGGGAATACTAACAGTAGAACAGCATGAACTAAATTTGCCTGAAGGATTTGTGGGTTTTCACATTCGTGATTTGGCTTGCTGACAGTACGTCTATATACTCTGCCTTCAAATTATCACCCAGAACTATAAGTTACCCTTTTTCTGACAAAATAATGAGCTGAATATGGTTTTGAATGGTTTTATTTTAATCCCAAGTCTATTTTAGGAATATGCCCTTTTGCTAGGATACTCTCTACCTCACAATTCTTCTCTAATGAGAAACATGGTTCTAAGATCACAGGAAAGTGTAAATGTGTCTGATAAAAACTATGGTAAAGTGCAATGAATAATTATAATGTACTTTTATAAAACTGAACTAAATTGGCCCATATGTTAAACTGGTACATAACTGATAATGCTTCTGATGTGTGTATTGCCAAGTTTCCAATGTTATAGGGTTGTTATGTTTCCATTTTTGGTTTTTGAATGATTGTGACAAGCTTACTATGTAAATGAGCATATACTGATACCTAAAAAACCTTGTTTCCACTTGAGTTAGCAACAACATCAATATGCAACAATAAATTAAAAATTGTGCCTTTATGGATCTGGCTAACTTGTTATCTTGCTGAGAAGTCATATAAAGAGTTTATAAAAGGATAGGCCAAGTTATTTACAAATACTTGAACATCTTGCAACATGAAAAACAACAAAAAAGGTTAAATTAAACCAGCCTAATTTTCATTTTAAGGAATCCCAAACAGTGTGATGGCCTGGTCCCAGATGCTGCCAGAGCTCTCCCTGCACAGCCCGTGAGAAGGGACACAGTGTACTGTGCTGGTAACCTGGCCCGTGATGGATGTGCCTGTGCCCACAGCCACAGGTGGCTGGGAGATGGGAGTGACAATCCAACACAGGTGTGAGTCACCCAGGGATAACTCTGCATCTGCTCTTCCAGAGCTGTGCATCTGTAAAGACGACACATCTGCACAGCACAGTTAGAACAGGAAATCAATGGAGGCTCTTGTGAAATGCTGGGGTGGGTTTGGGGAGAAATGATTCAATGATAAATAAATGAATTTTTCTTTCTCTTTGAAAGGATTTATAGAAACTTGACCCACTTCTGCCTTAAACTATGTAGATGCTTAGGCTTGAGTTTCCAAAGATACTTAAAATTAGGTTGTCAAATGTCATTGGAATGACATGAAGTTAAATTATTCTTCTGGGAAGAAAGGAAAATTGTCTCCATCCTGATACCCTTATTTCCAGGCCTCTAGTAATCACTTTCCCTTAGGATTCTTTCAGAGCCAGTGGTGGAGAAGTCCCCAGGCAGAGCAAGCAATTCCAATAAAAAGGCAGTAAACAAAGAAGGTGTAACTTGTTACAATTTTATTAGGTTTCTATATGCTCATTTGGCACAATGGCTACTCACAACTCAAAGTTGGAATGACTTTGAGCCACCAGTGGAATGGCTTTGAGCACAGGGGAATGATGTGAAAAATATTTAAAGGCTCTACACTTTCCAAACTCAAGTGAAAGCTGAAAAGCGGATTATTCTCACCAAGTCCACAAAAAAAAGTTATTTCTAGTGAATTAAAATATTTTTGATTTTTGAATACCAAAGTTACTTTCAAAATACAGACCAATCTTCTGCAATAAAATATTGTTTTAAAAAATATTATTACCTTCCTAAAACTCTGTTCCAAAATGTTGAAGTGAGACACTTGGATGTGTCAAAAACACTTTCTCTAGTTTCCTGTTGGAAATTAATTACAGCAAAACAGATCTGACCTCACGTGCTTGTTTCAAACAAAATGCACAGATGATTTTTGGTTCTGGTGAATGATTCTGTTTAAGCCTATGAGTAGATCTAATAAATATGTCACTGAGGCTGGCACTACTAATCTATAGCTTCAAAAGTAGCTGCATTTAATCATTAGAGATAAATTAAACCTGAATAACAAAAACAACCTATAAGGTTACCTCTTCTCCTTCTTCAATATGATAATCCTTCCTTTCATTTGGCCCTCCAACAAACATCACATTTAATTGATAGCGATGCCTGGAAGAGAAAGTGACATTTTGAAGCTACTTCTGTTCATGATGTTATTTCATTTATTATTTTTAATTCTTTTAGGACAGTGAGTCAATGAAACAACGTTGAGTGGAAAGCAACAGCCAGTACAAGAACTCATAGACCTTGGATGCTCTGTCTGTTCTGGCACTGTCCTGTTGGGTGACCTGAGGCCAACTACCTCCCTCCTGGTGTTTCAATGCCTCCAGCTATGAAAAGGGGACAACAATAGCTGCCAGCTGTGAGAAGAGCTTTGAATTGAAAAGATAAAGAATGTTACCTAAGAGACAGGAACTAGAAAAGAGGCTTTTCAACCTGAGCTGATTATGTAAAGGTAAAACTCTTAAAAGTTAACAAAGGTAAAAACATACTTTTCCCCCCCACATTGGTAGGCTTACCATCGATACTGATGGTAGGAATTGCCAGCTAATTTCTGTTCTGTTTATACCCATTTTGCTAAGCTGGAATAACATTACAGTGGTTCCAGTATGGTTGTGGCTATTTCAGAAAAAGATATTCCAGGCCTTTCTTAACTCTGCCCCTCTTAAGAGCCCCAGTGAGCATTCCTCTCAGCTATCATGAGGAATGGCTATCACTCCAATTACCTAGCAGTCCATTCACACTAATAAAAAAGGAAGGTAGTAGGTTTTCCTTTGCTAAAAAAAACCCTTCAAAATCAGGTTAGCTGGGAACCAAAATTTGTTCTTCTGTTGTTTGACAAGTGAACTGAGGTGTATTAACCTCTGCTTTGCAATGAGGAGGTTCTGGGCAGTAACATGGAACCAGCAGGGCCATGATCCCCTGAAACACAGGGAACAACAACAACGTGTCCGTGTCAGCACCTTGTATGCTTTAATGGAGAGGCTGTTCTGAATGGTGTCACATACATATTCAATCTGCTACTGTTACCACTTTTTCCGCTAAGAGTATTTCAATGATAATGACCAACACAGTGGGGACTAGTAAAGCAGCTAAAAAGTAACAGTGACAAATTAGTTGGTCAAATAAAACCAAAGAATTAGAATTGACTGTTCTCTCCACAGGAAGCTGCATATTTTATAGCACTGGGCTTCATATCTGTATCATAAAATAAGGTACTGAAATCGAAATTGTTTGTACCACGCAGATTTAATATTCATTTTCAACAGCACACTGTAATGCTTCTGCTTTAATGATCACTTCTACTAAATGGCAGGATGACCCAAACAGCAGCAATACAGATAATAATTAATGAAATAAATGAAAATCAACGCTGAAGAATACAATAAGAGAAAGGCAATCTGTGTTTCCTTGTAGTCTACTGTTAAAATGGGTTAGTTTGGTTTTTTTTCCCTAATAAACATTCAGTTTTGTTATTAGTTCACTAAGTAAAAATACCGCTATAAAACAATTACAGGTTGACTTCTTAATTTGGCAAATCTACGATTAATTATTCCATAGATTTACCTGGGCTTTATAGAATAAACAGGCTATGTCTTAATCATTCAATCATTAACAAAAGTATACTGACACCATCAAAAGATTCCAGCTATGAAATATGAGCAGGAACTCCAATAGGTAAGTTTGTCCATCTTGCTGAATAAAGTTATCTGGTTAATATAGTTGCTTTGAATATTGTTATCTTTAACAATTATTTATTGTTATGAAATATCGTAACAAAGAAAAGTTTCAGTTAAGACTGCCAAAATGCAGTTAAGAGTATTGTAAAGGTTTCAGGGATGAGAAAATTACTTGACTGTACTGTTGTTAGAATGAGGACCTAATTAATGGAATATTAAGTTTTCCATAATGTTACATTTCTCTTCTCACCCTCATAAAGAAGATGGTACCAGCAGGTGACAATTCAAAAACATGATAAGGCTACAAAGAATCAGTGGGTTCATGGCCACACTTAATAGTCCTTTTGGTAAGCATCATATTCTGAACTCAGAAGAGCTTTAGAAGCACCTGTGAAAATCAGTTGTGTCAAGGGGTTTGATTTTGCACTACTTGCTCATTGTGGAGGTTAAAAAGCATTTAAACTTACAAGCTGGTGTCATTAAAATACAATGTCAGAGCTGCAGTTTAATTAGATGTATCATTTTCTTGACTTGGTAAAACTCTGAATAGGCAGTAATTCAGGAATTGAGGTTTTGTGTTGCAATCCCAAACAGGTATTTTAAAATTGTGATCCTCTCAAATGTATGGAACACAATGTCATAAAAGCCTGAAAGCATTAATAAATTCAGATACCAAAAGCCCTACTGATTTGCTGTGAGACCTAGTTTTAACTGCTAAGTCTCCCTTGAAACAAAGTAAGTTAAATTTTGAGGTGGTTGCCTTGAATGAGGCACTAGGACTCAGTGAGAAGATTGCCTTACACGTCTCTACAGAGCACATAAAGGATGAAGCCTTTGAAAAAATGTTGCAAATCTATTAGTTGTTTCTTGAAAAATCACCTAAAACCTTTTGGAAAATCCTGAAAGCACTTAGGTAGCACCAGATGCAGGTGGTGGTAGACTCAGAATCCATGCAGTAGATGGTTTTACTCTCCTTCTACACAGGCTAAAGCCATGTTGGAAAAACGGATTTTGTTTTAAACTATGCAATTTTTATTACAAAAAATGTTTATTGTTTCACTGTAGCTTCTTAAAATGTTTATGGGCAAAGGTCTATGATAGATTCCACATTCCAGATTTACTCAAGGTTTACACAGAACTACTAGTAAGCAGTACAGAACAGTGTAGTAAATACAAAGAAGATTTATTGTACTGATAAGGAAAGAAAGATGTGAATATTCCATATACGTAAAATACTAAAATTTTCCCATTATCATTGGTAAGCTTCAGAAATGAATATACTTCATAAAATGCTTCCTAAATCCATTTTGAAAATGAAAGAAATGGGAACACTTGTAGTGATTCAAGTTTCAGAATTTTTCAGTTCTACACACACCTGCAGTTTCCACACTGACACGGCAGTAAGGATGTACTCTTTACCTTTTCTTTGTCTTGTAACCATTGCTTTGAAAAGTAACCCTTGCCCCTGTGAATGAAAACTAATATCACTGATACATTACTGCCCATTCAGCTTTTCATTAGAGATAGCACTTAAAGGAAGAGGCATATTTTTTGATTTTTTTTCTTTTTGATGATTACAATGGTAAAGAAAGTTTTTAAAATTAAAGTTTAAAAAATGCTTTTTCATTTCTTTATAAAACCTGGGTCTGTGTCACTCCTTAGAGAGAATACTTTCTAATGAAAGCTTTCTGCATACAGAGTTTTAGACAAAATATTTTCTCCTCAGCTTCACTGACAAAAATCCTCGTTAATATTTTGAGACACATTGGATAATTTACATTGCAATTTGTTCCCAAGCTTTGACACAGAGCATATGCATGGTGTACATACAACTACATAATGCCCACACTTTTTTTCCCTATACTGGCTGTCTCATTCAGAATACTGTAAATGGCTGTAAACTGTCCCTGCAGGTTCCCTACCCTCCCTTCAGGCTCCCTACCCTCCCACCTTGACAGATCAGGAAATGACCTGGAAATCTGATCCACTGGTACCGCTGCCCTTCCTTTTTCCTTGTTTGTCCTTCTGATTTTGATTGCTTCTGCAGCTTTGGCTCCTCTGTGATGTTGGAATGATTCTCAGCAACTTTAGCTACTTCAGGTTGTTATTTGGTTTTGGATGTGATGCCATCTCCTCTGAATTCTAGGAGTTTGTTGTCACAGAGCCTGACAAAAATTCTCTTAACTCAGTCTCCCTGCCTACAAGTAACTTTGAGTTGAGACAAGTATCTCATATTCAAGTTGATCTTTGCAGATTCTGCTGAGTTATTGCAAATCAGATTTCACTCACTTTCTGTTCTTTAGAACACCACTCTGGCTGCAGCCTGAGAGGAACTACGGTTCCTTATTGATCTTTACCATGTATGCATTGTTGCAGCTTCCTCTTATAGCTAGGAATATTTGTATATATAATAACTTGGTAAAAAAAACAACTTCATTTACTTACATAAGCTTATTGCAAACAGGTGGCAAAAAGGCAGTTTTGTTTTCTTCTATCCATTTTCTTACATTCACAAGAAGCTCCATGGTCCACCACCTATGAAACTTTTGCTCAAGATATCAGAATTTGCAGAATGCTTTTTCTGTGAGCAGGCTGCCTGTGATTCCAACCCCAGTGTTCAGGGGATTGGCTGGTAGGAGAGGTGTCTTCAGGCTTCAGTGTCAAAAGGGACAAGTCCATCAGCCAAAGGTTATTTCATAGGGAGCACTAATGCTCCAGCAGCTTGGCTAATAATTGACTAGTGTTTTAAAAATATCTATTTTTATTGGAGACTCAGTTTTGCCCACAAGGGGTTTCTTAATTGTCCTTACTGCATCTACTGGAGTGGGAATGTTATGTCTACAAAAATGGCCAGTCAGAAAAGCAGTCACAAAAAATGGATGAGGCTGGGGGATTCACTCCTTTCAAGTCTAATATAGAAACCTCCCTTCAACATTCTAAGGCTGAATGTTTGTGTTATATGTATTTGTTTGAAAATACTGGAATCTTCTTTTGCTAAGTAGCCAAAATACCGATGTCTCCTGCATTTGTAAGACCAAGAGTAGCTGTCCATAAATGCTCATCTTAATTTGATCCACTCTGCCAATGTTTTAGCAGGGCTTGTGGAGAGCTGACCCCAATTCTGCGATGCCTTTTGGGAAAGTGCAGCATACTGCCATCAAATTGTCAGGCAAATAAGAAACTGAGAAGAACCAGACTTTCCAGATCTTTATTAGTCTTTATTCCCCCACAAGCTGCTGTTCAAGAGCTACACAGTTGCTATGGGACTGCTCATTCTGTTCCCTCCCACCCCTAATTTTTAAAATAAATAAATTTATAAACAATCTCGAAACACATGAGATGAGTGGGCAAACAAAAAAAATCCCAAGACATTACAGTATCTTAGCACTTTGCTCTTGACATATCTCAGTCTTCCACTTTTATCTACACTGTGCTTAGTGGGTGAATGTGTATGGGTATAAGGTGATAAAATGACCTGGTTAAAAGTGAGTGGTACATTCTCCATGGCTTGCACATATGAGCAGTTCAGCTACAGGCCCGAAAATTCAGCATGATGAGCAGTACAAATCTGGGAGTTCTTTAACTCATACTGTTGTAATTTTCCACCAGAAGAAAGCAACAGAGTCTGACTTTGAACTAATACTGTGCTTTTATCAAGTATTTGTAAGAGTGACTCTATTTTACCTTCATCTCTATCACTTCTTTGCAGTTTAGTTTAAACTCATTATGTAATTTATAGAACAGGAAAAAATCTGTTTGAGATAAACAGATCCACATGTGGATTACAGTTCCACTGTATTAATACAATCACAATGGGACAAGCTGTAATTTCCTCTGAAATAAGCCCAAAGTAGTTATTATTTCATTCAATTGAAAAACGCCACCACCACATCACTTATGTAGCAGGTGAAATTTCTACCAACAGAGTGGCTGTGGTGAGACACCACCACAGAGCAAACACGTAAGGCCTGGTTTTGAACTTACAGACAGGTACATTTTGGTACTTTTTGTTCTGCATGCTGCTGGCAGTTCTGTTCTTAGCTGTAAAACAAAGAGAGCTTCTATTTAAAATGCACTTTCACTTAAGGGATTATGACCCAGATTGGCAGGACTGGAGAAATGCAGACACTAGTTAATGACTGTGGTTTTGTAAAGCTCTGCCTCATCATTAGAAACTTGTGTTGCAGAGCAGGACTCAATTTGTTGGGCATGAAAGCTGAGAGAATCTCCAGTCACAGTAGGAAAAAACACAGATCCTGGAATTGATTGAGCCAATCCTTGTTCATCATGGTATTAAAGTACCAGTTTTAACTGCAGGGCTCTTGTCTACAACCACTGCTCTAATCCCTAGTCTCTGCTTTTTCCCACCAGGCAGAATACAAGGTACTATTACCTGCAGAGAAAACTTTCTCATTGTAGGCTCATAAATCCATTTTGTGGCTGGTATGAGGTATAGAAACCTGACAGTTAAACCTACTCAGGGAGGAAACAAAGTTCACTTACAAAATTCACCATTAATATAAGTCTGAGGCTATTTTAGGGTAGCATTTTCTGCAACCTTCTGAAAATCAGTAGGTTTTGAAAAACGAAGTTAATTGCCAGTTGATGCATATAATAGTGGGGCAAATAAATGCAGATAACTGCAAGGTGTGGAAGCCTATGAAACTCTATTTCTGTGAAGTGTACTGGAGAGATGAAGAAAAGAACCAGTGTTGCAGTCTCTGAGACACCCAAGTAAATAAATTCATCTCATACACCTAAGGAACTGATTGGGACCTGGATTTTACTTGCTAGTGTGCTCCCTGATGGCTCTTCACATCCATCAAAGCCTGTTTCAGCACCTGGGGTTTCTGTTCTCCCTTCTGGCCCTGATCCTTCCTTTATGCAAAGGTAAGGACTCGATGTGTAACCTCTTACTGCCAGAGTAGTGCAATAGTACTGAAGCACAAAACTGTTACATGAAAATAGTTTGTATTTTGCATTGAGGGGTACAGGAAAAAAGGGTTACTGGAAAAAGCTGCAGTTTGGAAAACACTATTTTTCTACCTTTCCCAATCACCAAACCCATTAGAAACTTAAATTTACAAGCTTGTGTCCAGCAACAAAAATAGGTTAACAAAAAAATACAAGTTAAATATTGACACTGGGCTATATACTCAGGAAAAAAGGGTTACTGGAAAAAGCTGCATTTTGGAAAACACTCTATTTTTCTACCTTTCTCAATCACCAAACCCAATCACCAAACTTAAATTTACAAGCTTGTGTCCAGCAAGAAAAATATGTTAACAAAAAAATACAAGTTAAATGTTGACTGGGCTATATACGTTTTAAACTACATTCTCCATACTACTTTCCCCCCCTGCCCAGCAATCTTTGTGTGATATAGATTATTTTGTTAGCATAATGATGTTAAGGGTAATGAAGGCTGCTGCTGTTTTCTAGTATGCCACGGGTATACCTATATGATGGAAGAAGAAGAGTTCATTTCTCTGAAGAAATAAACTGCCAGTTCTCCATGCCAGACACCTTCATCAAGGATCACATACAACATTTGCACACTGGTTCACCTGTTAATGGTGTATACCACGGCAATGTATTTTAGGTAATGCCCACAGAAATAACAGCAACAGGAGAAAAACCTTCCTGGCAAGTGAGAGGCACCTCCTCTCCGTTCAAAAAGTGTCAGCTCATTTACCATGAGATCATGGGGGAAGAGAGGTAGTGGAGTTACACTTGGGTTTAAGTGTCTGCTGATGACAATTATGTTCACCACCTTTTTGCCACATAAGGCAGGCCAGATCTGACTGCAGAATAAATCCATGATGGAGGTATACTTTATCAACGCACACGCAGTGCTGAACAAACATTTGTTTTGAGAGTGCCAGGCACCCTTCGTGTCGCACACAGCAGCGATGCTACAGATGCCAACCATTAGTTCCCTGACAGTTCCCACTTTTTGCTGCAGCCTGGTCCTGAGCACGACCGAGGGTGCACCATCACCCCACGGCTGCCCGTGAGCGTGAGGCTGAACTTCGCTGACCCAGCGGCCCAAGCCTTCACGGAAGGCCGCCAGGCGGCTCGATCCCGCACGACTCGGGGCCGGGCTCCGTCTGTCTCGCCCCGGAGACCGGAACTGCGCGGACGGCTGCAGCCCGCGGCTGCCGGAGGGCGCTCAGGCCGCGCCGCCGCCGCCCGCCACCTGCCGCGGCCGCCGGAG